GCACTGCCAATCAAGCCTGGCGTTGGCCCCAAGGCTGAGCAGGAGTACAGAGGCCTTGTCGCCGTCCTCAGCCGCCCGCATTGGCCTTGGCGCACAGAGGGAAACCAGGAAAATGGAGCTTGTTGGCCTAAGTATCAAAATGTAGGTTATATAGTATCTCTGCATTGGATTTTGGACAGTAGCTATTTATTTTGTGGAAGTATTGGCATGAGGCTGATTTTAGTGCAACCAAAGACTTTCTGAACTTCAGTAATACGATATTATAGTGTATTGGCAATTAGTGCAATACATTACTAATCCGCATTATGTGAGTGTCCAGTATTCTGTTATAACGTATTTTTTAAAAGTTTAATAAACCCGAGGTAGAGTTGCTATTTTCTTTTTCTTTTTCAAGTTATTTTTTATTATTATTGCATAAATGACATGTTTTTTCCATATGAATTCGTTCTCAAATCTCACTGAACAGTCATTCGAGATAAAAAACTAACAGATTTCACTATAATCTCCCCAATCATCATGGTACAAATCTAGTTTCGTTATGAGGAACATGCTTACCTTACGTAACAACAAAGTCATTCTTTACCTTGATCCGAAGAAGAACGGCGCATTAAGCATAAATCCACTATTTTTCCTATTCAATCTGATAAAACTAAAACACAAGCAAACGAGCCAATAACATAATGATTATAACGTACGTACAAAAAACCAGCAACTAACCGTCTTGCGCATGTAGTGACAACAGATCCTTTATTTTTATCATTCTCAGTAGAGCCCATTACAAGTGCCACCCGATCATCTGTTTACTTTATTTATCTCCTTTTGACCCGCTCTTTACAACCAATCCTTTCACAAATTAATTTCTTGCGTCGAGCCTTTTTTTTTTATTTTCGTGAAATGAAACCGCAAAAGTAGTTATAAGAGAAGGAACTTAATGTTTTTTTTGAACACATATCAGCTGAGTGTTAATGATTGCCACATCCAGGGCACTGTGTTTACAGTCGAGGCAAGCAGAACCTCGCATGTCTATCAGGAATCATTTTGATGTATAAAAACTTTCCAGGGGGGGGGGGGGGGGGCGCTGAGTCAGATTTTTAACATGCAAAGGTAAACATGGCAATAAGGCAGGTAAGATGGTGATGATGATGGTGATGTGATGATGAATGATGATGAATGTGATGATCATGTGAAGATGATGGTGATGGTATGTAATGATCAGATGAAATGATAATACACAACAACAGCAATAATACAAGGATATACATGGCATATAGGCAGGTAAGATGATGATGATAACAATAGTAATAACAAGTTCATCAACACACAGCAATAATATTGATACCAATAAAAAATATAAAAACTAACATAAAAAACATGAACACGTGATGATGATGAAGAAATTGATTTACCCTCCCTATTTGGCGCCGCCTATTTTGCACTGAAAGATTAGTAAAAGTTGCACACTCGTTGTTTTCGTTTAAAAAAAACCATATTTTCACAGATCTTCTTCTGTTTATATTCTTTGTTTAGTTCAGATTTCCATTTTTTTCTGTTATAAAGAAATCTATGGTTGAAATATTGCAATTATTGGTGCTCTTTAAAAGCATATGAATCAAGTTCTCTCACAACTACATAACATTATATCTCTGTATAAACACAACACACACATATACATGTATAATGTGTGTGTATATATGTTTGTGTGTGTTGTGTGTGTGTTGTGTGTGTGTGTGTGTGTGTGTGTGTGTGTGTGTTGTGTGTGTGGTGTGTGTGTGAGTGTGTGTGTGGGGTGTGTGTGGTTGTGTGTGTGTGTGTGTGTGTGTGTGTTTGTGTGTGTTGTGAGTGTGTGCATGTGCGTGTATCTGATGATTTGTAATGATGATAATATCTAATCATTAGCTAATGATCTGGTACTGATGTTAATGTTTGATGATGATATCGATAGTAATACTATAAGCAGTGCGCCGTCGAAGCATCCGGCTCGGCAACATATTTGCATATGAGGAAAAAAACTTTCCGAATGAACAAACATCAAGAGACCTGCGAATGTGGATGCCAATCCCTGGGAGTCCTACAATACTAAACAAAACACTGAAGAAATAAAAGAAAGCCCGGGAAGATGCATTATAGAGGGCGAGAGCGGGCTGAATCGAGACCATGATCAAAGTGCGTTGGGAGGGGGGGGCGTGGAGGTCACAGATCGCGCTTTTATAGTTATTCACGTCAATCGGGTAAGCTGGTAATCCCCGAGAGCTTTGTTTGGCCAGTGGTATTTCCGTTCTCAGGCGTCCGTCAAAACAATTTGCGGCAGTTGTTCTGGATATGCATGCTTTTGCAGAAATCGCACCATATTTTCACAGTCAACTACGCAAAAAAGCAAATATATGACAATTTGCATTTACAACAAATACCCACACTAAAAATATAGACCACTAATGTAGACTAATGTTTTCCTATCACTACTAGGAAAACATTCATAACCCACACACAGCACACGCAAACAACACACCACACACACACACACACCACACACACACTCACTTTCTCTCCCCCCCCTCTCTCTCTCTCTCTCTTCATAGGAGCAATAACCACGTGGGCTGTCCCGATTTAGCGAACACTCGAGGAAATGAGCGGAACAGCTTAACAGCCACCGGGCGTTCCACCATAATCCAGGACGGGAGAGGTGGAGGCTTTACTGAAACATCAGGATTGTACTGAGTCTGCAATGCTGTGCTCTTGGCCAGTACCCTCCAGATCCATCGGGCCCTCGGTGAAGATCCGAAAGGTGCAAAACATGGAATGCTGGAGCGCCAGAGCAACAGCCAAACCATTTCACGGGCATACGGAGACACGGAATCTCAACGAAGTGATGAGTCATGGCAGTGGTTGAGAAGAGATCTGAAGAAAGAAGCTGACAGCATGTTCCTGGCAGCAAAAGCCGGAATTATTGATGGAGTGATATCTCTGTGTAATGTGAATGATGAGACTGTTAATCAACACACGGCGCAAAACAACATACTAAAAGCAAGACGACGTCTTTGTTACAGCAGTCCATTAGAACCTAAGCAAGAAAACATAATCTCATATGCAGCAGATAATGGTATGAGAGGCGCCCCAGAAGGGCTATTAGATAACAAGGCGATGCTTTCCCTATGCCCAGTACACCGCTTTGGGGTGAGAGACCAAGAATAGAAGATGTGTCCTGGCCGACGTTAGTTAGGGTTCTTTGGATACGATAACGGAGCAGAAAGAGAGGGAGAAGGGAAAGGCCAGATATACAGATCTTAAAAACGAATTGCAGAGGCTCTGCTGCATCTCGAGGAGGTCGTCCCGGGGTGGTGACTGAAGCAGTGGGGGTGTTCCTACGAAACTGAAATCGGACTTTTGAAAGCGTGCGTACGCATAACAATTATTTCGTATAATAACTAATCAAAAATATATTTATAACATGTGTACATGAAATTATTATCACACAGTGAATAGATAAAGACTAATAATTATCCTTATCATCATCATTACTGTTTACAATAATAAATAATAATGATAATAACAATAGCAATAATAATATAATACTGGGATCATAACAATAAGCAATATATTAATAATAATGATAATAACAATAGCAATAAAATACTAATAATAATGATAATAACAATATCACACAATAATAATATAATAATATAATAATTTAATGAACAAAATATAATGTTTAATGACAATGTAACAATGATAATAACAATAATAACGAACATAATGGTAATAACACAAATAGAAATACAATAATAATAAATCAGATAACAGAAATTACAATAATTGGTGATCATAATGATTATAATGAAAATAATGAAATAATAATAATAATATAATAATAATAATAATAATAATAATAATTAGTAATAATGCTCTCCTTCCCTCTTGAACCATCCATTCCCCTCTTCGCCCCCCCCCCCCCTTTCCACGTATGTACGCATACATAAGCATCTCGTGTGGTCGTATGAATATTAACAGGAACTCAAATCCGCTTCCACCCCGAGGCATTCACGGCCGACCTCCTTCGAAAACAGCCCAGAATTCGCTCAGACAAGAAAAGGGACTTCAAAAACGCTGCTCGTAAATGATCCCTCATCCTATCGCGTGGCAAGGGCACCGTCGCCAGCAGCCTCGTTTGAGGTTAGCGAATGTTGTCGTACGGAGAGCGGGGGGGGGGGGGGGGGGGGGGGAGATAACGGAGGACGCTGAACCCCGTTTGTTCGCACATCGTGACGGGCATTGTGTCTTGGTTTGCTCTTCGGTGAGGATCAGTGCGATCGGAGGGATTTTGGGGGTTTTTTTTTGGTAATAGGGTGTGTATTCGAAAGCGAAATGTGGGAATTGCTTGATACTGTGACTGTTGTGGTATCGGGAGTCCTTGGTTTAAACCTCGTATGAATTACACTTATTTGTATTATAAGGCGTTATTGTACATTATTATCTTTTTTGTTTATGGGTGATGGTGCGAAGTTGTGTTACTTGAAGACAAATGTTCAGTTTTTTGGAGCAGTCGTAAATAACCGCTATTCAAGGATGAAAAAAATATACGAAGGTGAGATTGGAATGATGCTACAGGTTTTTGTTGGCGGGGGAAGGCGGAGAGGGGGGGGGGCGATGAGAGACAGGTAAGTTGGAGGAAGTTCGACGTCAACCGCCGAGTTTGCTCATTGTTGGAATTAAAACATTTGTTTCGTTCCAAAGGACATTCCTCTGTGCATACACAAGACGGCCGCGAATCCTCAAAACATACCAAAACCAACGGGAGACAGGATCGAGAGTCCGGACGGAAATCCCTTAAATATCTGAATAGAAAATGTATCATTGTCGCCATGTGTAAATTCCTAAAACCATCTGAAAGAATGGAAGGTCCAGTGTCGCGTTCAGATCGTTTTGTGAGTGTCGCACGTGCTCTCGCCGCCGCGGTTTATTCGCTCAGGGGAAAGATGTGACTTGTGACACCGGTGTCTGTGATGGATCTAAAATCCGTAAGTGAATGTTGCAGAACAGAAGAAGTTAGAGAAACAGCCCAACCGACCCGAGAAGGAAAATAGTGAACCTGATGTACACTGTACATTTGTTCTTGATGTGTCCATTTGAAAGGCAGATAGGAAGCGACATTATTGTAAAATATAGACAAAGAAAAAAAAAAACAAGAAGAAATTTTATTTAATCAAGTGTTATTACTATGTGCTTACAACAGTTGTTGAAATGTCTAGGCCAACACCACCACTCCCACCCTCCACCACCCACCTACAGGCCAGGGGGGGTTAGTTCCTGAGTTCAGCAAGTGACTTCCAGGATCCCGGGGGGGGGGGGAAGTGTATTCAGGCGGGAAAGCTTGCTCGCACTCTGAATTACGATATTCTTACATAGAACCCGTAAATCTTTACCTTCCCTTTTATTTCATATTGAAAAGTATATCAACTTAAACTGTAAAATTGTAATCTGTATAGTTATTTTACTGTTTTTTTTTTTCTTCTTACTAAATTGCCAGCAAAAGTGAAGAAGGAAAGTAAAGAGACCGTGACGGGCACATTTAATTGATTCAGAAAATTATCCATGACGACGGAGTTGAACAAACTGTGTCGAATCCAATATTTCGTCCTGGGGATCAGTTGAATAGTCTGAGATTTAAGTAAATTTCAGACAATTTCAGACGCCGAATATAATTCAAACACCTTAATTGTTTTACATTTCTGTGGGTGGAGTTTCAGTTAAGGATTTGCAGTACCTAATTCCATAGATATATCACTTCACTGGAATAAAATTAACTAGACTTAAACAATCACTGCCAGACACCATGATCAAAGTGCGTTGGGAGGGGGGGGGAGGCGGTGGAGGGTCACAAATCGCGCTTAACTAGTTTTTCACCAGTCAATTGGGGTCAGCTGGAAATCCCCCGAGAGCCTTGGTGGCAGTAGTATTCCCGTTCTCAGGCGTCCGTCGAAACAAGATGCGACAGTTGTCTGGATATGCATGCTTTTGCAGAAATCGCACGCATACATTCCCAGTCAACTACGCAAAAAAAACAAATATAATGACAGTTGACATTTACACTGATATCCACACAAAAATATAGACACTAATGTAGACTAATGTAGATGATCATACCACATACTAGGAAAACATTCATACCCACACGCAAGCGTGCGTTCACACACACACACACACACACACACACACACACACACACACACACACACACACACACACACACACACACACACACACACACACACACATTCACACTATCTCACTTTCTCTCACACACATACACATATGCAAGCAAACTGACACTACATACTAGAAAAAATAAATGACATAGAAAACAGTCATTGAAGCAATGCATTCAATCGTGCACATGTTTCCTTGTTTACATTGTAGAAGACGGAAAATACAAGCTGTATTTCGACCTCCAGTGTCCTTCCGTTTGTAGCGTAATGATATATACAACGGGCGGTTAGTGCCATTACCTCATTCTATTCACTATTATTTCCGTTAACTGTTTACATGTTTACTATTCTGTTTTAAACCATTTCTCTTTTCTTCCCTATTTCAGAGCACGTTAGGCAGGACAGGAAACGTATCCCTCTGAAATTCAGATGTACCGAAGTGCCAAATGAAATTTTGCAACGGTTAATATATGGAGAAAATGAACTTTGCTAAACGGATGGCAACCATGGAACTATAGCTCTCAAAAGACACGTATAACAACAACAACAATACAATAGAGTGTGTAAAAAGCAAATCCGTATTTCATACAAGAATCAGTGCGACTGCGACTGGACTGTAAAAGCGATAAACAATCTGTAAAGAGAGGAAAGGAGGTTTCAACTCGTTTGCATAAGACTAGCATCCCCGACTCGCCATGTCTAAAGGAATACCAAGATGGCTGTTGGTATGCGCGGTGTGTGCCTGGGTTCTGGCTGGACGCATCGAGGCTAAAAGTACAACCTCTTGCAAAGACAACTGTAAGGTAATCTGTGATAACACGAGTACAAACTACATGCCTCAGCGTTGCACCGATTGTTGTACGGAAGGTAAGTTAGCCCGGTTTCCCTTGTCTGAAAAAAATAAGGTAATATTGTTTTATAGAATTTTAGTTTTTTTTCTACAGTAACTTTCATCTATCAATTACGTATCAAATATTGTCGAAATAAGGGCCATAGAGGTGTGGGAAAGGCGTGTGCGATTATATGCACGCGATGAATGTTTACCTCAGTTCTCACATAATATTGAACATGACTCATCATATGTTGGCAAACACAACTTTGCGCACATCCTTGGTTGTTGGGGTTCAGCAGGTACAGATATCTTGCTACGTGAAGTTGGAAAATACACACTCATCCACACATACATGCACGATGTCGGGCACAGAAACATACACATTTATTCGAATAAATGTCATCACAAACATGTACACAACCACTGACGCATATTCAGAAACATACACACACTGCATTATGTGTGTATGTGCTTGCATATGTGTATGTATGTGTACATTGCAATATATATATATATATATATATATATATATATCTATATTATATATATATATATTTATATAAAGTATATATATGGGTATATGTATATGTATATATGTGTGTGTTTGTGTGTGTGTGTGTGTGTGTGTGTGTGTGTGTGTGTGTGTGTGTGTGTCGTGTGTGTGTGTGTGTGCTGTACGCATATATGTATGTGTGTGTATCTATATATATATATATATATATATATATATATGTATATACATACACACATACATATATACATACATTCACACATATATATATATATGTGCGTGTATGTATATATATATATATATATATATATATATATATATATATATATATATATATATAGTTATGTATATGTATATATACATGTGTGTGTGTATATATATATATATATGCATGTGTATGTGTTTGCGTGTTTGTATGTGTATGTGTGTATGCGTGTGTTTCCCTCTCCGTGTGTGCGTGTGTATGCGCGCGCGCGTTTGTATGTATATATACACAGGTTTGTATTTGTTTATATCTATTCATCATGTATTTATTTGGTAATTAATTTACTTTATTAATTAAGTACTTATTTTTCATTAATTAATATAGTAATTTAATTATAGACATACATGCATTAATACTCTCACCATTATTGGCTGTGACATAGGAAGACAAGATGATCCTTATAAATTTGCATACGTAGGCACTCTAGGAGAGAATATAAAAGAAAGAACCAAAGCAAATGCAGTTCCAGCGACTAACAATATATTCGATATGATAAGGAAAAGAAAATAAGAAAAGCATCAAGACCTGAAAAATTGATCCTCACCTGTTCAACCGACCGTTATTTTTGACAAAACCACAAAAGACATTATTTTCAATCACAATCACTTATTTCATCGAGAAGTTGCAACATTAATGGCTTGTGTGTATAGGAGATACATGGATGTATATTCCATAATATGTCTACGTAGTTCTGAAGCTTGGAAAGAATTGCCCATGAAAGAAAGCAAAGAGGAAGGGGTATCCATTACTTACATGAAGATGCGTGAGATAAATGATAAGTGTAAGATCGTAGTAATAAGTAATTTAACAGATTGAATAGCACAGGTCTCCATTCCATATTCAAGGACGCGTTCTACAATAGTACACAGATGGCGAGTTCATCAGAGCATTCGAGTAGACAAATTAAACGAAGCGAGAAAAATCATGGCGATGAGGAAATATCTCATGCGTGCTTCTTTTGACGGTCCGAGCTTCCCTGGGTTGAAGTAAGAAGACTGTGTTTCACGATCGTCTTGAATTCCAGAAGAAAGAGTCACTTTTCATTCAAAGAAGTGACCTTTTTTCAACAAGTTGGATGGAACTTACTAATTAAGTCTTTTGTGTATTGCATGGATTAAGCGTGTATTGGTTGTAGAAAAATCTGAAGACAACTTATATGATTTAGGCGCAAATTCCTAAAAACCTCTGGCTAAAGTGCAAACTTGGAATGCCTCACCTTTGGAACATGTACCTGAAGAACTTGGGCACGAAAACTTCTTTGTCAAGTGTATTCTTCATCACACAATCCTGCTCATCCTTATCGTGTTTTTAAGCCGGTATCGCCCCCCACCAAAGTATCTAACCGTCCTTATCATCCTTTGCCTATCCCTCCCTTGCTCTCTGTCCTAGCTGTTTATCTGTCTATAACATCTATCCAGCTATTTATTTATCTCGCTCGCTCCTTTTCCCTCATATTTTCCTCTATATCCTTTATTTCTTTTTTCTCCTTGTCTGTCTTCCTTTCCCCTTCTATCTTCTCTCCCTTTCTTTTCTTTTTTTTTCTTTATTCCTCTCCCTATTCCTCGCTCGTATTTACCTCTTCCAATTATGTCTCCCCAGGCTCGCAAACCTTCGCAGTTTGTGTGGCGTTCATGATGCTGCCTGGCCTTGGAGGCGCTATGAGGTCATGCCTATGTACTGCTCGGATCTCCAGTGATTTTTCATTGCCAAATCAACGGTTGAGATTCTGAGGTGTCGCAGTTTAACCGCCAATACCGTCGTTTTCTGAGTTCAAATTCTTTTACTTTAAAAACAGAAATTGCTTGTTCCTATTTATTTGTTTTTTAATTATTACTTATATACGTAAAAATGAGTAAATGAGAACTACACATAAATAATCGAAATCCGGCTTGGGTGGCCCGGGGGTCGTGATTACTGCAGAGGTGTGTGTCGGCGGGGGGATGTCGGCGATACCCCTGGACAAACGCCATCCTTCGCCCTCACCCACCCTGGCTCTCGCCATCCCAAATCCTCCGCACGACCTTGTTCTACGGAACGCCACACTTCATCTGTTTGTTCTCTCTCAGTTTCTGTTTTTATTCCTCACTGGAAACATGCGTATCTCATACAGTGCGTGGATATGGTGAGTGCTTTCTCCCCTTCTTTTTCTTTAAAAACAACAGAGAATTGTTGTACAGATATAGATATATACCACAAACAACACACAACAGTAAGCAAACAAAAACAACATTGCCCTCACTAACACTTCCCCCAAAAGGGGATGTAAGCCATTGTCTACACACCAAAAGAGTGGGATTTGTCCTGATACATACAGTATTTCCCGAGTGTCCATTGGTATTTGGATGTTGTGTTGGCGGGGGGATAGGGGGCATATGGTTAGTGCGCAGAATACTATATTTGATGGCCCGCGTTCCATACTATTACTTTTGATATAGTAACTAATTTGCACAAGTCACTATCCTATTAACAAATAATTATGATTATATTTTAGTAAATGATATCAATTATCATAATTGTTAGTATATATCTAATATTAATCTATTGTTCTATCTGTTTCTTGTCGTTGCTATGCAAGGTCGATCATCATTATCATTATTGTCCGTACTTTTTATTGTTGTTGCTTCTTTTCTGTTGATATTACCTCTTATTGTTTATTATCACATTATCAGTACCATCGATTATATTATTTCTTACTTATTAGTAATATCATTATTATTATTATTACTAATCGTTATTATTCTTTATCATTATCATTATCCATTATTTACCATCATTGTTATTTTTTGTTGTTGCATTAAAGTTTGCCGTTGTTCTTGCTATTATCATTACAATCAATTATTCCCGTAAGCTTTATTACATCAATTACCATCATCATCATTATCCGAAAATGTTGTTATTACAACAGTATTACCTCCTGCGTGCTCTACCCTGGTATTAGGTTTCCCAGTACCCTGATCACTATGACTCCATTCGAGCGTGGCTGTATTTAATATTAGGCGGCCTTCCAGGTCGGGCCGTTTTTCTGCCCCTTTTGCAGTTTCTTCAGCCTTGGGTGTCCGATGTCTGAACTTTGCCACGAAGTTCTGACGCAACGAGGGCGAGTTTACTTCCGTATGTGTGTGTGCGTTGTGCGTGCGTGCGTGCTGTGCGTGCGTGCGTACGTGCTCGTGGTGTATATGAGTGAGTGAATGAGTGTGTGGTGTGCGTGTGTGTGCGCAGACAAACACTCACGCACGCGCGCGCGCCACACCACACACACATCAACACACACACACAACGACAAACACACACACACACACCACACACACCAACACACCACACAGACACACACCACACACACACAACATTTTCGTCTATTCCTAGTGGTCGCGATCACTAACATGAATAATTTTCATTCACTCTAATGAATATCGTTATATCTATTAATCTCAAACACAGCGCGAAGGCCCGCGCGGGAATCACTCGCCTCGCACCAATTACGTATCCTCCGCGTGCTTTCATTAAGACTTGTTTTACAGAACGAAGACTATACTTGCATTTTTTCTCTGCCAGCTACTCGACTCCGCGAAAGATTTTGTGATTAGGAAAGCTGCCTCGTCTTGAAAGAGACAGAAAAGGCGCTTGTATTTTTATTTTGTTTTTCCACTTTATGGAGTACAACATTTGGCTGAATTCCATAGCACAGAAATGGCGTGAAGTGCGTGCGGAGATTGGAGTCTGGTCATGCATGAGATGGGAAAGGCTTGTGCATGAGAGTTTGTTGCAGGATCTCGCATTCGTTTTAAAGTATTTAACTGTACTTGTATTTTGTTATCTGAAAGCCGTATACATTTTGGCTATCGCTTTCGTGAATACTCGGACATAAGTAATGTTCTCTTAGAAAAAAAATTAAATAATATAATGTTGCCGATGTGACTGACGGCGATGTGGTTGCCGCTAGCTTTACGAAGATATTCAGCAAATTATTACAATGAGTGGAGATTTTTTGCAATCAATATAATGAGGGCAAAAAAATCGTGCGCCATCCTACTGCAGAATATTGCAATGTCTTAGTCTTTAGATCTCTTGCAATGTGCACCTCATCAAGTATACTCCATATAACGCAATGATATTAATAATAGCCGCTCTGATGTAATGATTGTAATATCTATTTTGACGAAATTCTTCTGGTGGCTGCTCGGCATAGGTAAACGAAGACTGAAAATTGTGTTATTAGCAGTAGTCCTTTGCTCAATTTTCTTAAATTTCTCATCCTTCCTGTTATGTCATACGTCATATTTCAGTATCATTTTCTTCATTTAATCAGCTCCATCATTACACTGCGACGGCTAAAAGGCATTCGCATATTTTCTTTTGGCGAATATTTTGAATCCAACCCAATCTTCCGACAGGGGACACACAAAGACGCTCCCCGCCCGTGGGTGAAACAAGCACTTTATTGCCGTTAGTAAATGGCTCGCACTCTCTTGTCCCTTTCCTTCCTTTCTCTCTCTCTCCCATCTCGCTCTCTCATCTCTCTCCTCTCATCTCTCATCCGCTCTCAATCATCTCTCTCTCTCTCTCTCTCTCTCTCAATTCAATAACACATTAGACACACCAGACATACGCGCAAAAAAGAGAATACGTAAATCAAGAAAAAATAGAAAATAAGGAAGAAAAATATATGGTTTGAGTGACTGTGGTCCATATACGTTTTTCTGTTTACATTCTTGTTTATCATAACAAATCATATTAATGTTTTATTTTTCCTTTTTTATGTTATGAATTGAAATTTTTTTTTACTGTCCTTATAGTAATTTTAAAGTTATCGTTTTTAACAAAACATTTTTTTTTCTAAATTCCAGAGGCCAAGGCAGGGAAGTCAAGACGTTGAAGAAGTAAGTACATTAAACTTTCAAATAACATTATAAGTAGATTTAGAAGGGGTAGTTATATATACTCTGCATAATTCTAGCGAGGGCGTGCGAGTTAATGAATAGCGGATCTATCGAATTCCTGTTAACTGTAGCGCAGTGTACTATACATGCAGTAATATTGCGACTGTAATCTATTATGTTGCATGTACACGTGACTTCAGATATGGGAATCATATATTCCATAACCGAAAGCTCTGAACTCAGAGTAAGAACCGCATATTCGTGAAAAAAAAATCTATTCCCTCTCGCTCTGTAGAAGTGTGTATGAGCGCGGTGATTCGTCACTGCTATCGTGGCCTTGAGATGACTCTGGTGTTTCTTGGGGACAGACGCCTGCATTCGCTTTGGCGGCCTACTGAGGGATTCCAGAGACCGAAGGAAAAAGTCAGAATTTACATCTTTTCATCTATGAGGTGGTGAAGTCCTGAAACCACGTGGACGGGGCTGTTTGCACACACACACAACACACACCACGTGTGTGTGGTGTGTGTGGTGTGTGTGTGTAATATACATGTGTGTAGATATATATATATATATATATATTATATATTATATATTATCTATATTAATATACACACATATATATATACCACATTCACCATTCATCGCATTACTAGCTTTAAAATTAGGAGCCATTTTGTGTGCTCGTCAGTATTGGTAGGAGAAACTTGGGCTTGTGTGTTCGCTGTCCTCACTCTCGCGTCCTTACTCGAGGAAACGCCTCTGATGTTAGATCTGCTGAGATAGTGAGGGTCCACGTTTTCCTCGCTGAACGTGTATCATGAACGTCCTGGATCCAGATTTAGTATTAACTACTACTGTCAGAAAGTAAATGCTGGGCGTGACATGACAGAGAGGGGAGAGAGGGTAGGGGGCGGGAAGGGGAGTGGGAGGGATGGGGAGAGAGAGAGAGGGGGGGGGAAGAGAGAGAGAGAGAGGGGGAAGGGTAAGACAGAGAGAGTGGGGAAGAGAGAGAGGGGGGAGAGAGAGAGAGATATGAAGGAAAGGGAGAGAGAGAAATAGAAGTAGGGGAGAGAAATAGAAGAAAAGAGAGAGAGCATAGAAGAAGAGAGAGAAATACAGAAGAAGAGAGAGAGACGATAGTAGAAGAGAGAGAGGTTGGGTAGAGAGAGAGGGAGAGAGAGAGAGAGAGAGAGAGGAGAGAGAAGAGAGAGAGAGAGAGGAGGGGGGAGGTGGAGGGGGGGGAAAAGAGAGAGAAAAGGGAGAGAAGAGAGAGAGGTGGGGGGCGAGAAGAGAGATAGTAAGGAGATAGAAGGTAGAATAAGAGAAGAAGGGAGAGAGAGAGACAGAAGGAGGCGAGAAAGATAGAAGGAGAAAGGAAGAGGAGAGGGGAGAGGAGAGAGGGAGAGAGATGAGAGAAGAGAGAGAGAGGAGAGAGAGAGAGGAGAGAGAGATAGAAGGATAGGGAGAGCAGGAGAATAGAAGGAGGGAGAGAGAGAGAGAGAGATAGAAGGGGGGGGAAGAGAGAGAGGGGGGGGGGGATAAATGAGAGTAGAGAGAGAGAGAGAGAGAGAGAGAGAGAGAGAGAGAGAGAGAGAGAAGAGAGAGGAGGGAGAGGGAGGGGAGAGAGAGAAGAGGAGAGAAACGAAGATAAACAGAGACACACAAGCCGAGGACAGTATAGAGGGAAAGCGAGTCGCAGGGTCAGGCACAGAATGAAACAAGGAGGCCGAGGAGATAAGTGCAAAAGGCGCAACACGATACCTGCTCTTGACACCTCATTTGGAAAAGAAACCCTGATTTTTCCAATTCCTCAAGTCCTTCTCCTGAATCTATCACTGCACGAAGACAAATTTCTCTTACATATACCGTAATCGATTTTTTTCTTCTTTAACTATCTTATCAGCCTTACTCCATTATTACCTTTTGTAAGTGAGTCGGTTATTTTTGAAACCTTATTTCTATCTTTATCATTAACTAATATGAAAACTACAACAACACAAAACACCGCCGTAAACCACATGGTTGAACTCACACCAGCTTGTGGAACCACGTGTCCTGTGGGGGAAAGGGGGGGGGGGGAGACAGGAGGAAGGGAAAGGAGGAAAAGCAGAGGGAGGCAGGGAAGAGGGAGGAAGAGAGGGAGGGGGAAATGAGGAGAACGGAGGCGAAGGAAGGGAAAGAGGGAGAAAGGGAAGCGGGAGGAAGGGAAAGAGGGAAGAGAGTGAGAAAGGGATAAGAGGAGGAAGAATGAGGGAAGAGAGGGGGAAGGGATGAGGGAAGAGAGTGAGGAAGGGAAGGAGGGAAGAGGGAGGAAGGGAAGAGGGAGAGAGGGAGACGGGAAAGAGGAAGAGAGGGAGAAAGGGAAGAGGGAGGAAGGGAAGAGGGGGAAGAGAGGCGAGAAAGGGAAAGAGGGAGAGGGAATGACGAGGAAGGAGAGGGAGTGAAGGGACTGAGGGAAGAGAGTGATGGAAGGGAAGGAGGGAAGAGAGGGAGCAGGGGAAAGAGGGAGAGAGGGAGGAAGGGAAAGAGGAGGAAGGGAAAGAGGGAAAAGAGAGGGAAAAGAAAGGGAATGTGGGGGAGAGAGGGTGAAAAGGGAAAGAGGGAGGAAGGGAAAGAGGAAGAGAGGAGTAGGAGAAAGGGAAAGAGGAGGAAGGGAATGAGGGAAAAGAGAGGGAGGAAGGGAATGAGAGGAAGAGAGTGAGGAAGGGAAGGAGGGAAGAAGAGGGTGAAGGGAAAGAGGGAAGAGAGGGAGAAAGGGAAAGAGGAGGAAGGGAATGAGGGAAGAGAGGGAGGACGGGATGAGGCAATGAGAGGGGTAGGGAGGGTAATGGGGGATGTGAGGGAGGAAGGGAAGGAGGGAAAGAGAGCGAAGAAGGGAGGGAGGAAGAGAGGAAAGGACGGAAAGGAGGAAAAGAGAGAGAGAGAGAGGAGAGAGAGAGAGTGAGCGGAGAGAGAGAAGTAGAGAGAGAGGAAAGTTGTTAGTCAGGGAGAAAGAGGGAATTTGTAAGGGTCAGGGAGATTGGGGAGAAAGGAAACCACACGGAAGCCAGGGCAGTCATTGGACAACGAGCTTTAGTAAAAAAAACAAATATTATAATTATATTGATCACACAAGAAATCAGACTGTTAATGATGGTGATGTTGAATTTTATAATAATTTCATAACATGATACTGATGATGATGGTGATGATTATGATGATGTGGTAATGATGATTATATAATATCACAAAATAATAATGATAATAATACTAATAATAACAATAACATAGGAACATATATTGATGATAATAATAACTATTATCAAATCATTATGATGATTATATGATAATTATTTTATTAAATTGTGATGATCATAATGAATTATACCATAATTACTGATGTAAAAAAATTATAATCTTTTGTTATTCATTTTATCACAATAACACTAGTACTCAACGATGGTACAACACTAAAGCAAGAACACTATATTAAATAAAGCGACAAAGAAAACGGCCGCAACTTAGAAGACAAGACGTCCACCCCCGTAACCCGAGCCTCGCTCTGTTGACAATTTCACAAACTTCACTGACTTCTCAGCACAAGGGACACGAAGCAGAAGCAGAAGCAGAAAAGAATCCCTGAGTCAATTCTATTTTGGACTGTCGAGATGCGAGTGTGTGAGAGCAGGAGGAGGAGGAGCGGAGGGACCAGACTTTTCACCGCAGGGAACTTCATGCACCACAGCGAGACGTGTTGTCAACATGTTAGGGCGGTTACACTCGTGAAACTATACACGAGGCTGGACCGTGTGCGCTTTAACTTTTTGTGGCTCTGTGTGTGTGTGTGTGTGTGGTGTTGTGTGTGTGTGTGTGTATGGTGTGTGTGTGTGTGTGTGTGTGTGTGTGTGTGTGTTTGTGTGTGTGGTCGTGTGTGGTATTATTTTTGCTTATCGCCGTGGTGTAACTTATCGGTTGGTTGTTACACGTTATTTGTGATTGTCACTCCTATTATAGATATCATCGTTATTATTATGATAATCCTATTCATTGTCATTATTGGTTACTAGGAATAATGATAATCATTATTAAGGCCCCCACATCCTTGGTTAATAGTTACTATCCTTATTACACCTTCCGCTTTTCCCTCATTTTCCCCCTTTTCATCCACCCCCCCTTTTCTCGATCTATTTATCCCCATTAACCTCCCCACCCCTGTCACCCTCACCTCTCTCTCTCCATCTATCTACCCGCTTATCCTCACGCTCCCTACTACCCCTTTTCATTTCTTCTTTGTCTTTTACCCACCTACCCATCACAGCACCCCGTATCCCTCCCCATTCAAACTAACCCCGCCCCCCTTATCTCTATCTACCCAACTATCCATCACCCTCCCCCCCTTCGTCTTATCTATCCTATTTGTTTTCAACCTTGCCTATAGCTGCCCACTCCCCCCCCTCCCACCTGACCCCAGTACCTCTTGCCTCGCGGATGATTCAGCGGCGCCCGCGTCCGCCGTCTGATGCGCGGGACCGATCCTCGCACAGGAAGAGAGGCGACACTCGGAGTCCAGTTTCCTCTTGTACAACACTTTTCATTCGTTATCATTTATTTTAATATTCAACGCTCGTCTCCTGGGATCCTATATCGTGCAATCCTTATTATTTGAGCAGTTTAGCTGATGGAATGGGACAAAAAAGAGAGAGAGAGAAATAACTTCGTTTAGCATCTGTTTATTCCTTAATGGTCAGCGATGAGTCAGCCCGTGCGTCCGGCTTGTCCCTGTAGCGCCCGGGTCGTGCTCGGCGCCACCGCTGCAGGTGGACTATTAACGCGGAAATGAGTAATTCTCTTTCGGCATCACTTACTCGGGTTGTTTTGAATCACTGTCAAAGGCAGGAGGTTTAGTTGGTCCCATGTGTGGGCTTTATTCTGATGCCTTGGCCCGGTGATTTGTGTGTGTGTGTGTGTAATTGTCATATGTATATTATTATACATCACATGCACCACAC